TAATATAAAAATATAAATTCTAATGTTGGGTTTGAGAAGCTTGTATTAAAAAAATTTATATTATAAATTGACTATTTCATGATTATGTTAGGGTTTATAGTGTTTACGAGGAACATGTAAAAATTTTCGTCTTTTACTTTAGTAATTGTGAGTTATGGAAATAAAAATAATGATTAATGAATTCATTTGCCATACAAAATATGAAAAGATTGATTTTCTCTGAATAATAGTATATTAAATTTATTAATTGGCTTCACAATAAACTGATTACCAATTTTGTACAAGAAATGAACATATGTCAAAATAGGGTATCATTCATTTTTTAAGTACTTTACAGCAAGATTTGACTAACAGTATTTGAAGAAAATGGTAAACCTTATGTATGTTTCTTCATACCAGTAGAATTCTTCACAAAAAGAGATCGACACATTAAATATTAAAACAATAGCTATGTCTGTGTTTAAACTTTAAGTAAGCTCTAATTATTAGATCCCTGCTTAAAACAAACATATTACAATATTAAATCAATAAATACTATTACCATAAAGACATTTAGTTGTTTATACATTTATGTCTTATTATAATCAAATAATTTTTTTAATCTACTGGTATAATTACACAAAAATTGAGATTGAGGTATTTTGACACTTACATATACATAATCTATATACTTCATTACACAATTTTGCAGATGAAGTTAACTACTAGATAAAATTAACATGAAGATACTAAATCAGCGCACATTTTTATGCGTGTTATTCTTTTCATCTTTGTCTCTCTGCATTATCGTCTCCTGTTCTATGTACCTATGTATTGAGATATTATATTAAAATACAAGAATTGAATAGAAACTAAGTTAGTAAGAAAATTGACAATATCGAGCTTCTGAAATGTTTTTATTGAAAATTAATGATATAGAAAACTTAATTGTTTTATTTGAAAGAAAAATGTTCTTGGTTTACACATTTTATATTTCTGTGTGGCCAATAGGAAAAATACGTATTAAAAGAAATATATATAATTACTCAAAATAGATTGTTAAATATATGAGTTTGGAACTGACGAAATTCAAGAGTATCTGTTGCATAATTTTCATTATTTATGTGAGGTTTCATTCATTGTCTGTTGTTAATTTGAAATTCATAGGCACTGATCAAGATAAATAATATCCTAGCCACTTGGACTGAAAATATATAATTTAAGTATATTACAAACGGCCATGGCAAAATGTTTCAGATAGTTATTCATTTTCCAGTCTTGAAGCATAGACATTTTTTCCAAGTATGCAATAAAAAAGTTCTTTCACGAGCCGTAACACGAGATCAAGAAAAATATAAAATATAATGGTGCAAATGTTGCAAATTTTAGGGAGACTTCATGAAATCATAATAAGAAACAAACAAAAATGATATATTGTACATATAAAAATAATTACGCTTATTGTATCTCTTACTTTTAGGTAATTAACTAAAAAATAACTGTAATTAATGTTGTTGTGGTAGGCGCACAGCGATGTGTATGAAAATTTATGAATTCGGAACGATTTTAGAGGAGGAGTAATAAAGAAATTTTATCCTGGATAGGACTTATTATTTTGTTAAGAATTTCACTCGCCTGTATATTATATAACATTTTGTGAAATCTAATTTCTGCCACATTTGTATATACTTTAGGTATCTGATTATTTCTCTCGTTTTTCTCAAATTCACCATTGAATGTGAAGTGCTTTTTCACTTCTCTTAATCATATTCATAAACTTGTAATTAAATCATATTTCATTCTTTTCATTATTTTGTTTCTTTTATTACAATAATTTCTTATGTTTATTTGCAAAATTCTGTTAAAAGGGAGAAAAAAATCTTCCATCATATAATTTTGAGAAGGACGAGTGATATTATGCGGAAAAAAGTTTCCAAGAATGTACTTGTAAAAACCATTTGTTTATTTTAGTTGGAACGCTTTAAACGAAATATAGTGGTACATGGATTTTTATATAAAATTTATTAATGTTAAAAATATTGACCCAATAGCCATTTTACAAATGAAACGTCGAAAATCTTCAAAGTTTGATCGCTCCAACCAAAGACTGAGTTCGCTTTACATTTTCTGATTTGGCAAACACGAAGTTCCACTGACAATGTGGACGATATGTCATTGGTTCTAAAGTAATTTAAAATAAACAAACCAATAATATGATAATTAAACCAGTACTTATCAATATTTATCAAATGTTTTATTATACAAGAAAAGTTTATATAAATAATTAATGAAATCAAGAAAAAGAAATACGATCCAGTTGAATCGTGAGACTTCGTGTTTACCTAATTTGTTGCATTCGCGGAAAACAATACTGTACCATGTAAGTAGGACTAAGCCGAATCAATGCAACTATTTAGAGCGATCGAACAAGACCTATAATCGTTTCGTGTGAAAAAAACAAATTATTAAGAGAAGGAATGAGCTTACAAATATAATGTTCAACGTAAAGCTCTTAAAAAAGTTCTGAGTGTTACAAAAACTTTTACGATAATATCGACAGATGTCGAAATGCGGTGTATCTATTATACGTGTATTTTATTCTGTGAATACAGTAGGACTTCTATGTCGCTGTGCGACAGGAAGATTTAATTGGAAAAAACGCTCCAACCAAAGCTCCAGTTTGAACGAAAGTTTGACGAGAGTATAGAGAATTTTTCTCAAGATTGTACAGTCGGAGAACGTAAGGGGGAGATATATCAAATTCTATATATGTAGAATATTTGATCTAGACAACCCTTTAATTTGTTCTTCGATACATACATCATCTACTCTCTCGTCCCCTGATAACACCTTTCGCTGAGTGCATGTATCAAATTTAATTTGATCCAAATAAAATATCATCAGATATAAATTAAGGCGTGAATTATATTTATTGCTTATAAACCGTCGAGGTCTAACAAATAAAAATTACATTCCTAAATTTATTTGCCTCTCTCTGACTCATGCTTGTAATTTTGTAGTATGTGCTTTTTGCAATAATGATAATAAACTTGAAATTCTTTTATCGACGGAAAGCGAAAAATATTTTGAGTCAAATAACCAAAAGTGCTTGTATATTTATTTGCCTTTTCATATTTTTAGAAATGTAGAGATGTTATCAGGTAGATGAGTTGTTTCCTATGAATTACATATAAAGATTTGAACTCAACTATTGTTTAATATTAATGTCTATAATAAATGTGATTAACACTTGAATCTATTAGAGAATGTAAATAATTAAATGTGTGCATATATGTATATATATAGATATATATATATATACATATTACGCGTACGCGCGGTCACACATACACATCATGCATACATACACCCCCCCACACACACTGTATATGTGTATATATATACATACACACACCAAAGATTGGAATTTGACTATTAAACTACTATATTGTGTAATTTCAACAAATTGGCAAAATTTTGAACAAATTGATTGTTGTACGTTATTCAAGTACAGAATTTAATGTCAGGATAAATCGTATATGACAAATTTTTCATGTCATTCATGTTAACAAAAGACATTTAGGCCAATGTCTGCTTTTTATTTCATTTGTCTATTCTATTTATACTATAATGAATGTTTTACGTATTATATAGTGACAAAATACTTACGCTACTTAAAATATATAAATCGTTTGTTTTCCAAAAAATTATATCCAAAACAAAATAGTATACAGTTGCATTTCACACACAATATCAGTAAAAAAACATTCGTTAGAAACATAAATTGGACAAACAGTTTAAAATGACAAATGTTTTCAAATAAATTCTAATTATATCGCGTAAAAGTAAATTTTTTAGGATATCCTATCTAGCAAAATCGGAAAGTTATAAAACAGAATTTATTTCCAATAATATTTTGTACGTTTTATTCTTATTTAAAGAATTTAAATGAAATAGTCAGATAAATTACATTTTCTTTGTATACTTTTTTAAATAAATTTGTTACATTTTTTTGTAAATATAATAAATTCATACTCTATAGGATTTACAAATATTTTGTATAGAATTTTGCAAATAGAACTGTTACAAAATCTTTCATCGTAAATCAAATGTGAAGATTCTTTATGTATATTTTAGTATTCATGCCGTAGTAAATTTCCAAATCCATTTTCTATTATTGAAGGTTATATTTTTTTTAATGTTTAGGATAAGTAATGTTTGCAAATTTGAATTATTGTTTCATTTACTACAATCTCATAACTCTGAGTTCATTAATAGATTCTTCGCTACTTAGAATAGTACAATAATACTTGAAACTGATTTATATGACTGTGCTTAATGTAAACATATTAAATTTGAAAAGAGCACAAAATTGAATAAACAGTTCCACCCAGTGATAAATCTATATAAAATATATGAATAAAAATGGCGGCAAAATATTAATACTTCGTTTAAGTATTTATCTCAAAATATACAGTGGTTTAGGGGTTTTAATATATTTCATGTGATGTCTTTATATGTGACACATAGAGTATTAGTACGAATTTTATGATAAAGAAGTTATTCTAATTTACTAAATGTGAATACAAATTATTGTCAACTACGTCAACAATTGGTTTTTTAGTGAAGTACCATTCAAGAGACGAAAATTCATGCATTTTTATTATATGAATAGGAGAAAGGAAAAAGAGATCAACGTGATACGCGTTTACACTACTTTCTTTCTATAAAACATGCTGGCATAAGAGTAACTCATTTTATTATAAATTCAAATTTGCACGCGAACAATAATTATCAGTAATATTGTATACGGTGACTTAATTATCTTTTATGCATTATCAATGGAAATCAGGAAATTAATACATATTCATTAGAAATAAAAGTATTTATTAGTGATTCTTTTCTATGCTGTATTTTTATGCATGAAGAAGACTGTTAATGTTGGAGGTTAGTTTTGAACTGTAATGGTTTAAACTATGCAATTATTTTGCTATTTATTTTGCTAGAATAAATATTAAACAATGTCACAGCAAACACAGAAAATCAATGAAGTACATAATGATTGTTTAAATGATACAGAAATGATTCAAAATAATGACAAAATAATGAATAGCAATGAATTATTACATGAAAATGACTATTTGGAAGAAGTATCGCAACATGAAATTGGTATGAAATGTAAATCACCAATAATTTATACATCATCAATGAATGAAGTAAAAAAAAAAGATTTAAGTATAAATGAATCTTATTTGATAACATCAAACAAATTACAAAATTTCTCAGATTACAATAAAAAAATGTCACGAAATGAAATTAATATGCAAAAAACACCAAAAAGTAAATTAAATAGATATATCAAAGCATCAACATCAAAGCATATTAATGACAATTCTTATTCAAATGAGAAATTAAAAACTCCAAATAAAAATAACACTTCATCAAAAAATTCTAATAATTCATTTTCTACACCTGAACAATTAACTTATAATTCTAGACTAAATCTGCAAGAATTTACATCACCATCTGGTAAATCTCCAAGAATTGTAAGAAGAAAACTGTTTGATGAAGTTATTGATAGTGACATTATAACTCAGGCTATTGAATATATGAATTTAACAAAACAAGGTGTTATTTCATTAAACAATTTTAATATGGAAGAAATATATTCCAGAAGTACATTTGAGTATCAATTTAATAAAATAAATACTACAACTCCACTGAAATATAAGTTAAATGATATAAGCTTATGCGATGATTTGAATTCAAAAATCCTTTTTACTACTATTTTCAATGTATTTTGTAATCCTGTTAACTGTGGTTATTTTAATGAAAATGAACTTGATTTTATATATTCTATAATTACCCTTCCAATAAATGCTCAAATGCTGTTGGCAAGGATGATAAAAAGAAGTAGAAAATGGTTTAGAAAATGTAACATAAAATACCCAGAAATAGGTGAAGAGTTAAAAGATACTTTTGAAATTCTTGTCTCACGATCTATTTGTACTTTTGACATTAAAGATGAACAGTTATCTACAATACTTGAATTATTGCATGTAAATGAAATTCAGCAACTTTGTAAGAGCATGAAAATTAATTTTAAAGGAAACAAAGAAAGTAATATAGAAAAATTAATAAAACTATCAAAAACTAAACCATTGTTTCCTGGATTAAAGGCTCCACGTGATACTTTATATGCTGCAATATTTAATATATTAGGATATTGTGTAAGTGTAAGTGCTTTAACATGGAATACTATTGATAAGATAATAACATTGTTAATACCAAATCAATACCCCCAAAAAAGTATAGCAGATATGTTTCATATGTTATGTAATATTTATTTAGGAAAAATAGTGTTTCCCAATATTTCTAAGTGTTATTTTCCAGTATTTTCTAATGAAATACATTTAACAAGGTAAATATGTTTTTTTAAGTTAGTAATAAATCTAAAAATAAACAGAATTTAGTCATTTTTATTGAGTTAAATTTATATATACTTTAGTTATATAAATGCTAAATCTATATTATTCACAATGTTACAATATATTGAAAAGAAAAATTGGAAGGAAGTACAAAAGTATGGAAAGTTAGCTATGGATATATTACCAATGTTATTGAAAGATGAATCCTCAAGGTAAATTAAATTCTGTCTTTTTAATGAAGAATGATTTTAACAAGAAGTTCAATAGTTGCAATTTTTATTTTATAGATTAAAACATTCTGTGCTTCCTATGCATATAAGATGTTATATGCCAGGATATACATGGATGAAAATACTTTCTACAAGCATAGAGGCATTTAAAAAAGATAAAGATAAGACGCGAGTAGTAGAAATCTTATTATTTTTATTAGAGCAAAACTGCCATATGAACATGAATAAAGGAAAATGGTATAATGAATTAGTGTCTATTGAAATGTATTATCATAAAAACATTGAAACATCTGCATCCTTTATAACAAAAGCTTTAAATATAGAAAATTTGACACAAGTAGATAAAATAAATCTTATGGAAAGAGCAAAAAAAATTCTTAAGAAAAAGGTTGCAATTAAACCAGTGACAAAAGTTAATGTTAATAAAGCACTAGCTAATCATATTCATAACATGCCAAAGTATGAACCAGTATCTATCACTATAGATGCTACAGGAATGCAAAGGTAAATTTAATTGCATTTATGTTATTTCTTTTTTCTATTTCAAAACAATATGAAATACTATTTTAGAAATACTACTCGAAGTAAAAGCATTTGGTGTATAAAAAATGACACAGAAGGTCAAAGTTATGGATCAGTAGAAACTGTTGCATTTAATTATTATTGTGAACAAGGGTTTCCCAATGGATTACATTGTGAAGGTGCATTACCAAATATTCTCTTTTGTACTTTATTTTGGGAGGAGTTATATGATATACATATTCCTGGAACATTTGTAACATCATATCAAGAAGCTCCAAGTGATTTATTTACAGAACAATTTTATGAAAATAGAAAAGAGAAAATAGATCTGAAACTTCAAATTGCTAGTAATTTAAATCTCGAATCATTAAGTTTCTTGATGGAAGAAAAGTTCATAATACTTAGACAATATCAGTCAATAATGATATCAAACTTACAAAATAATTTACAATTAAAGGTGTGTATGTTATCAATAGTGTTTGATTATGTGACATATCACAAATCATTAGAACAGAATATCACTTTTATTTATAGGAAATAGTACAATGTTTGGGAGTTCAAGGTGTGATAGGAATTTGTAAACGACTTATTGACAACTTTAAACTTTGGAAAGCTGGTTTTCCAGATTTAATTGTATGGAATTATGAGACTAAAGAAGTGGGTATTCATTTGAATAAATAATACCGAAAAAGTTATTAAAAAAGATTCTTCTTTAATTTTTTTAAAAAGAAGTTTTTTAAAATACTTCTGCAAGTACTAATAAATATTAATCTTTTTCTAAAGCATAAAATTATAGAAGTAAAGGGTCCCAGAGATGTTCTTTCTACAAAACAACGATTGTGGTTAGAGTACCTTCATCATCTTGGACTCAATACTGAAGTATGTTTAGTACGAGGTAAATATTATGCCATTATAATATTTATTTGATGTTTGGAAGTTAAGATTCTAAAGCTTCTGGTACAGTAACAGTGCAAGGACCTTCAAAATGATACCTTTAAAATAATATGTTATATTATTATTTTGTTTCAGATAAATTTAATGTAAAAAAATACAAGGTTGATAGCTATGAATAAATATTTTACATACATTTTTATATTTCTATAAGTCCAAAAATACTTTAAATTATATATTAACATGTGATACTTAATATTTCAAAGTGGTATTTCACATATTTTTATATATATTATGTAATATATATACATAACTTTTATATAATTTAATTTTAATTTTAACTTACTCAAAGTGTCTTGTAGCAGGAGTTACTTCTAAATTAAATTCAGCAACAGGAATTCCACGTTGTGCTACTTGTGGTGCAAACATTGCTGCTGGATATACAACAGATGAAGTACCAATAATCAAACAGATGTCACAGTTTTCAACAGCAATATCTAGTATTTTAGTGAAGAATAAAACATGTTTTTATTTTATTAGAAAAAGATTTATCTATAAGTTACAATGTGTTGTTATACAATGCATTGCTAAAATTTTTAATTACATATTTATGTAAATAGGAAAATACTCACAGGCTTGCTGCAGTATCTGTTCATCTAAATTTTCACCAAACCATACAATATGAGGTCTCAATAAACCTTTACAATTTTCTTTTTGACATCGAGGTAAATTTTCCCTTGGAATATCAGAAATCATACGTGGATCTGGAGATCTGTTTGTGTGTATATGTGTGTATATGTGTGCATGTTTATAAAATATGTATTATAATATATATCCCTTTATTTTATAATTATTTTGTATAAAATATCTTACCCTTTGTCCCTTAATGCAGGACATATTGGAATATTTTTGTTTACACTAATTTCATGACAAACAGTACAGCGAGTTTTGTATAATGAACCATGAAGCTCTACTACATTCTTAGCCCCTGCTCTTTGATGTAGTTCATCGATATTTTGTGTTACAATTACGACATTTTTACCTTCTTTTAATTTACGATTTTGAAAAACTGCTATTGCTTCATGAGCCTAGAAACTCCATTTTGAGTACAAATAATCCCTACAAATAGTGTATTGTTCAAAAGACAAAAAGGTGATTATGAAGATACCTTATTAGGATTGGCTTCATTTGCTACTCTTCGACGATATTCGTAAAATTCCCAAACTAAAGATGGATTTGCTTCGAATGCTTGTGGAGTTGCAAGACTTTGAGCTTGGTATTTTCTCCAAAAACCGCCAGCACCTCTAAATGTAGGAATTCCAGATTCAGAGGAAACTCCACTACCAGTTAATATTAATACATTTTTTGCATTTGCCAATATTTCACGAAACGATTTCATAGTATTCATGGTTCGTGAATGTTATTTTAAGGTTATTTTATTGAACAATTCGAATATCAGCTGATGTCTACGTAGTCAATAATCTTGTAATGTCAAATCTCAAATTTTGTTTCAATTCGTCATTTAAAAAATAAGTCAATTTATGAAATTTGTGTATCTTCGTAACATATTTTTTTAATAAGAAAGTAAAAATTTCTATAATGAAATCATAAGTATAAAACTTTTTTTATCGCTCTGTTATTTAAAGTCATAATTATATAAATACCTTAAAAATGTTTCTTAGAAGCTTTTTTAAAAGGAAATCTAAAGTACGTTTATTTCAAGAAGTTGTATTACATATAGTCATAGAACGAATTAATGTTATAATTTTGTAGATAACACCACGAAAACTTATAAATAATTCTTTTGGAAAATATGAGGTTATTGAACCATGGGAAATTTCTGAAATTAAAGAAGTACCATCATGTATTCCTAAACCTTCTTACAGTCAATCTTTAGTACCTCGTGATGGACCAAAGGAACCTGAAATTAAAGACAAAAATCAAATACAAAGTATGAGAGACAGTTGTAATTTTGCTAAACAAATATTCACTCATATTAAACAATATATAAAGGTATATAAGATATCAAAAACACATAAGATTTAAACAACAATACAATTTAAATAATAATCTTATTTTAGCCTGGTATAACTACAGATGAATTAGATACAATAGTTCATGAAATGATTATAAGTAATGGAGGTTATCCTAGTCCACTTAATTATAAAGGATTTCCAAAATCAATATGTACTAGTATTAATAATGTTGCATGCCATGGAATTCCAGATAAAAGGCCATTAGCAAAAGGCGACATATTAAACATTGATGTAACAGTCAGTAGAAGTAATATTATAATATATATACAAATATAAAAATCTAAATATTATAATAAAATTAATTTTATTTATTTTTACATTTATGCAGGTGTATTTTCATGGTTACCATGGAGATTGTTCAAAAATGTTTGAAGTAGAAGAATGTGATGATGAAGCTAAACAATTAATAAGTGTAACAGAATTGTGCTTAAAAAATGCTATTGGTATTTGTAAACCAAATGAAAATTTCTCCAGTATAGGTATTATTGTAATAATCATTGTAATAATCCAAGTATAATGAAAGATTGTTATATATTCTTTTTTAATTTTTAGGGAATATCATTGAGGAAACAGCAAATAAGAATGGATATTCTATAGTACCAGTGTTTGCAGGACATGGTATAGGTACTTACTTCCATGGACCACCAGATATTTTTCATTTTGGTATGTTAATATTTTGATATAATGTATAAACATGTTAAAGACATACTTCCATTATATTGTTATTAATATATTATTTTATATTATTACTAGCAAATAACTTCGATGGAAAAATGTTGCCTGGAATGACATTTACTATTGAACCAGTTTTAAGTCAGGGTGGTGAAGAAATTAAAATTCTAGAGGATGGATGGACAGCTATTACAATAGATGATGCAAGAACTGCTCAATGCGAGCATACTATTTTGATTACTGATATTGGTTGTGATGTATTGACTCGTTAATCTCACAAGTTTGCTTTGTGTGTAAATTTTCATAGCATCAAGTTTCATAATGAAAGGTGAAATATTAAATTCTAGTATGAATACCAATGAACAATGAAACTTTATTTAATACAATTGTATTGCAAATATTTTTATTAAAAAGAAATTTATTTATATTTATCTTTACATAGTAGCAGCTTCCCAGTAACTATCTAAAGTTAATGGTCCTTGAATTTCAACACCTTCATCTTTCGTAATTATTCCAAGTTGATACTAAAAATTGAAAAGATTAAATATTTTAATGATCTAATACTAAATATAGAAATATAAGAGCTTAATAGATTTATATAACTCACTTTTGGAAAAGATCGTGCATCTCTATAGAAAAGAACTTGCATCACTTTATATAAAAGTTGGACTGCTTCTTCTTTACTTATTTCTTTATTTTCTTCATAAGCTTTTCTTAAAATAGGTGTTGCCATATATGCACCATATCCAGTTGCAATTACTGGATCACTATAAGCTGTGCCAAGTTTATCCACAGTACCCAAAAATCTATATAAAATACTTTAAAATATTATATGTATATGTAAAAAAATATAGTAATACAAACTACTTACACTTTATCTCCATCCAAACCACCAATGATGAAATTATTCCATAATGGATCAAAATGGGATCTTCTATTATACATTACTCGAGTTAACCAACAGTGAAGAGCTTTTGGTTTCAAAGATAAACCATCATCGAGACATTCTTCTTGAAGACTACAAAATATATATAAAAAACATAATATAATCTATGCCAAATAATTATAAAATAATAATTGAAATATACATTTTTCTCTCAATGTTGCTTTTTAAAAACTGAAAATCAGCATAATCTCCTCCAGCACCAAGGATAATATTGTCATTGACCTTCATCACACGTTGAAGATTTCTGTATCTAGCCAATGATCCATAGGAACCAAGAATATCTGCTGCTATAAGAACACCATCTTTAAATTGAATTCCAATTACAGATGTACCAGTTGTCATTGGTGCCCTGTGAGATAATAAAATAAAATTTAATTAAAAAAAATAAAATTGGTGATTGTAAAGGTTAGAATTATATTAAACAGTATAACATAATCTAAAATTAATATATTTTTTACCAAATCCTTATTTTATTACGATAATTAAGACATAATTTTTATTTATATATTATAATAATTATATATATATTCTGTAATTTTTATGAAGGCACTCATGACATGCAAGTTTTAAAGAAATCTCTTTAAGACAAAATAGATATACGGTAAGGAATGTTACTGTGATCTTTGGAATCCTCCAACATCGAAATATGCAGAACCTCCTGGAAAATGATAGAATGCACCAGGTGTTGGACCATTTTGCCACAATGGTATAGGACTATGCGAACCAACTTTATCGAACAGCGCCATGTTTCGTGCAAATTTGAAATAACTTAAAATGTCATTCTGTTGGCTAAATAGTCGACAAGGGTGTTCTTTAAAATAGTCCCTAAACTCTTCACTTAGGTATATTTAATTTCCCCTGAAATTTGTTCTTTAAATTAATCTCTATAATATAATTGAATATTTCGATATTATGATTCAGAAAATTAAAAAATCTTATTAAATCTTTAAAAATGCAGAACTTCAGTGCTTTCTATTATATTTTTGACTATTATAGTATTGTTTAATTAAATATTATCAACATATTAATAAACTTTTGAAAAGCAATTATTTTTAAAGACAATTTAAATTTAAATATATTTCATATATTGAACAAAATATTTTTTTATTTCTATATACATGAATAATGTAAATCCTAATATATGATAATTATAAACAATGTAAAATTGTATGGATTATAGTTATTATTATAATTAATCAGTATAAGAATAAAAATGGGAAGACTGTTCAAAAAATATTTTTGAATTGACATGATAAAAAATCCAATGCCAAATTCTTGCTATGTATTTAATTTCTTCGAAATTTTTGGTACTATCTTTTTATCCATGTCAAATTTGTTTTAAATATAATGTACAAAAAATACTAATATCATTAAAAGAAATCTATGTGAAAATCTTGGGGTGGAAGATGAGTTGTTCTTGCCGTTGTTGTTGTTCTTGTTATTGTTATTGTTATTATTATCGTTGTTATTATTTTCATCTTCATAATTATTAGAAAGAATCATGTTAATGGATCTCAATAAAGGATATGTGTTATCCGATGAATCTAGAGAATTATTTAAAGATGCGCATTTTCCATTGAAGTCGTCAGTATCGATGCTCCAAATCATTACACCCGATAGATTTAAACTCATCGCGTATTCGATCTAAAAATTTAAAAAGGATACGATCAATACGCTAATAAAATTATAAGATGTTTATTATCTATTCTTATTATTCTTGATTAGATATCAACCTTTTTTTCCAAACTCTGTACGTTATCAAACATTATCACGTATTTCTCGTTAATCATATAGGGTGTGTTACTGATATTATCCCATCCAGTTATCCAGTGTTGAGTTTTGTTAACTAGTTCTTCACAAATCTGTATAAAATACATATCATGTATTATTGCATATTATTTTTATTATTGAATCCATAATTATTATTATGAAAAAAATTAAATTTTATTATTGGAGCGGAATTAAGATAGTTAATTGAACTTTAACTTCAAGGTAATAAAAGTAAAATATACTTCGTTATATCCCATAAAACCATTTGTACGAGTATAAGGCCCCTTAAATCCATCTGATTCGGATGCTTGATTAATAGGACTTTCTTGAGATGAATTTAATTTATTTATCAACATAAAAGTTCTTCCATACATAGGCAAACCTAACACTAATTTATTTGCTGGTGCACCTTTACTTAATAAATAATTAAGTGTGTCCATCTAAAAGAAAGTTTTAAGTTATTATGTATGTTCGGTACTTATTATCTATTGTATTTTATTCGCATATATTACCACATCCTGACTGTCTTCACTTTTTAGTGGTGCATTTGGAAGTACTTTTTTATCCCATGAACCATGATAATCATAAGCCATTACATACATATGATCAAGATATTTGGAAATTTTCGGTATATCGTAACCCTTATTGATGATTTCTTTATTAGAACTTAAAGCTGCTGTTAATAAATAGTTCGACTCTTTGAATGCTTCTTTTAATTCCTATTCAAAAATTGCACTATTCTAAGATACAATTGTAGTTTCGGTAAAATTAATTTACATTATGTTATTTACCTTTACAAGAGAGGCGAAGTTTTCTTTGTCCTCTCTCATACCTTCCTGTGATCCAGGATATTCCCAATCAAGATCTAGTCCATCGAAACCATATTTTCTATAAAATATAAATTGTTATAAGTAAATTGTTAACAAAGAAAAATTGTCTAAATGTTCTATTCCATACTTAAGGAAATTCACGACACTGTTAATGAATATATTCCTTCGTTCGGGAGATGAGGCAAGCATGGAGTAATTTTTACTGCCTTCATTCCATCCTCCAATTGCAAGTAGAATGTTCAATCGAGGATTTTTCTGCCGAAGATTTGTTATCTTTTTGTAATTACCGATCCCTAAATTATTACATCAATTATAAAATGAAAATGTCATTTGCGTGAATAATTTTTTCGAATAATCCGATATCTCGAATAATCTGTAATATGTACCTACCATCCTGAATGTCTAAACCAGGATCGAGGCTTCTAATGGTCCACGATGTGCTATTCAATCCAGCGAACGCATATATAATATGAGTACAAAGATTTGGATTAATATTCGAGACTCCAAATTTTCCATTATTCGGTCTGTAAGTGGCCCAGGAACCGACATAACAAGTTACAATCTTCTTAGGTTTAGACCTTAATAAAGCTTAGCAAAACAGAAAACATAATTTCAATATAAAACTGTTACTATTGTTTTTCAAATTATTCATTTTTATAAGAGATTATCCTTTATACGAATTATTAATTATCATTTATGTATGTATTTACAAATATCACAAAATGACGGAATTTAAATAGAATTATTATTTCAAATTTAAGCAACGCGCTAACGTGTTAGCGTTAAAAAATTAATTTTAATTTAATTAAAATGTACTTACCTAAAGTACCATTGCAACTGAGGAGTAAAAATGTGAGTAAAGATAGAAAATTACACGTCTTCATTATCAAGAACCGCTATACGAATATCCAGTTAATGTCCTAGTAGATAGCTTTCACTCAACCACAGTACGGTACTTTTATACACGGCGAAAAAGAGAAACAGTCATGCTTGTAGATTAAAAAAGGATAGAACCAAAACCTGTTGCTGAGAACTTTAGTATAGTAAACGTGTTTCTATATATATGTGATTTTTTGTAAGTATATTTATTCCATATCTAAATTACTTTCACGAGATAAGTAATAAAGCTATACTAAGTATAAAATTTTTTTTTAGATCACTAAAATGAAATGTAACACAATTGTAGATAATCTAATAACTTATGAATTTTGAGTGCAGCAGTCTAAATTCGATATAAATATAAATAAAAGAATTGGACTTACAGTTTCTAAAAATTGTATTTATCGTAATATTTCAAAATATATAAATTAGTTTAATACATGCTCCAAATTTTCTGCAACCTTAAATGCGTTGTGTATTGCAGGTAATCTAACATAAGGGTTTAGTAAGGCGAATTTTAATTGTATATAACCTATGTCTTAACTAACAATTTCCTGCTTTGTTTTTCTATTCTTAGTGTGTCTTTTATATTCGTATTTGTAAAAAATTCATATAATTATTTAATTTCTTATCATTCATTCTTTAAAGTATAATTAAAAAGTATATCGTGTAAATGCATCATAAGATTTAAAAATGGCTGTATTTATAATTCATAGTAGATTAAAGAGTTTATGTTGCTTTTCCAATTTTTAAATGATTTTTTACGATGCCAGTTATTATTATTACTGGTATACCATGCAGTGGTAAAACAACACGAACTACTGAATTGCAAGAATACTTTATAAAGGCAGAAAAAAATGTAGAAGTTATAAGTGAAATTAATATTATAACTAAAACAGGTTTTGATCGAAACAGATTTTATGCTGGTTAGATTTTACTTCGTTTTATTTGATTATTTTAGGAGAAAACGCAACTTTAATTATGTTTGCTGCTCGTTATAGATTCTAAGAATGAAAAAAGTGTGAGAAGTGATATAAAGTCAGCGGCACAACGTATGTTAAATACAAATGATATATTAATTATTGATGGTAGTAATTATATTAAAGGATATCGTTATGAGATTTATTGTATGACAAAATTATATAAAACTCCTCAATGTACAGTGTTTTGTGATATACCAGTTGAGCATGCTTGGTTATGGAATGAGAAAAGGTCAAAATGTGAACAATATAGTAGAGAAACTTTTGATGCACTTGTAATGAGGTAATTAAAAATGCTGTGGATTAAGTATGATAATTTGTTAATGAAATGTAATTAGATATGTACAACATAATATATAGATATGAAACACCTGACACAAAAAATCGTTGGGATTCACCATTATTCATCGTATCATCAGAAGATGAATTAAAATTTGATGAAATTTATAAATCATTGTATGAAGTAAAAGCACCTAAACCAAATTTAAGTACACAATGTGTTAGTATTCATATATATAGTGAATGAAAATTTAAAGTAATTCATATAATATTTAATTTAGCTAATTGTGTTATATTTCAGCCACCATTATCTTCAACTAATTATTTATATCAATTGGATACAATAACTCAAGAAATAGTTAATGTAAGTGGTTTATAAATTTTTATTTATTGATTAAGTATAATAAAATTTATAATAAATACTGTAAGATATCAAAGAATATAGCGAACATTATTTCTTTCTTGACAAAGGCAATATTATCAGCTAAACAATTTGGTGTTGAAAATGAATTTAAAGTACCAGGGTATAATTTGACAGTACAAAATTCATGTACTCCAGCACAACTTATGAGACTACGAAGACAATTTTTAACATATAGTAAAATGCAACAAATTGAAATTAATCAAATTGCATTATTATTTATACAATATCTTAATAAAAGTTCATGAATAAAAAAAGTATTATTACCTTTGGTTATTATTATAATCATTTCTGTACCAAAGGTGTTTCAATTTGAAACTATCTTTTAAAAGGTAATAAATCTATTAATCAAATTTTCAAAAATGTATCCTTTTAATAAAAAAAATTATATTAATACATCATTAGGTCTATCTTACTTTATAATAATTTTAGACTGTATGTATTTTGCTTCTGGAAGTTTTTGTTGCACACTTTTATTTCACAACATAATGTCAAATATAAAATATTTTGAAATAAATAATATCTGTGCAACTTCAGCTATATATATCTTTCAGAAGAGAGAAAAATAGAAAAAGCAATGAACACAATAATAAGAAACACCTGAATTTTGGAATTGCACTTCATTTATAATATTAATGTAACTCACAGAATTGGATAAATAACATCAGCTTGTAAGATAAATTTAATAATAAATAAAATTTGTTTTTAAAATAGTTGGAAAGGATATTGCATAGTATATATGTGCCAACCAAATCGAGTTTCTTTTATTTCATATCACGGTATTTGGTAAATATTTCAAACAATAAACATTAATGATATGCTAAATCACAAATATTGAACTCAAAAGAAAAATTGCAAAACTGTTATTAGTATTAAAGAAGAGCCACCACTTTGAACTTGAATCAATTTCTGTCGATATTTAAAAAAATAACTGCAATACTTTATTATCCAATTTGTTAACAACAGAGCCATCACGCTTAGCAGTTACTTACAGTGAAATAAAATTCTTGATAAAAAAATATTAGTTTAAATTTTAACAATATTTAAAGATTTTTGTTATTTTTTTCTAGATTCAAATTACCTAATATTGACTTGATTTATAACGTATAACAGCTTTGCTTTTGTGGTAATGAACCTATTATGTAATGCATTTACAATTACATCAATTTTTCTTACAAATAAAACACAGGAAGTCATCAATAGTTAGTTTTCTTGTTCTTGCATACCATTACTTTCAGTGCCATTTCTATGACTCATATTATTATCTATGTGTCTTTTAGGTTTTCGACAAACAAAATATACGCTATTATATTCACACTGCAACATACTGTTAACATTCTGTGCATATCGCGTTTTCACACGTGTTTCTTCCTTCTGAAAGTTTTGTTACTTGTAAAGTTCAATTAATTATCAATGTTCATTTGTAGTGTAAATTTGATTACCTCTAATTGAAATCCAAAACCTTGAATCACATCACGAACAACATCATAACTTGGTTCTATAGAATCTTCCATTGGCATATCACTAAAATGATACAATAGTGGCCCAAGATTTATCCATATACCCCCTGGTTTTAAAATTTTATAGATAGTCTCAATAAATTGTACAACATTATTTGCGCAATCTATAAAAAAGCATGTTGCAACACAATCCCAGTGATTGTCTTCTGTATAAACCTAAAATACATGAATAGATAGTTTTAAGACACTTACTTATTTTCTAGCATTCTATGACATTAGTGCAGCTACGATATAGCGAGACCGTAAATTGGAGTGTTATCATAGATGATTTATTATTCAAAGAACGACTCAAACAATTGAATATATTTAATGTTTACCAATTTTACGATCTCGCTATATCGTAATTTGTGCTATACCTCCAGAAAATCTCCAGCTGCCATTGAGAACTGTGCATTTTCTGGAAGATCACTGGGATTTACATCTGGGAAAAATACAGCTTGAGTTTGATGCTCTGGTTTTAAATTATTCATATATTGATGTACCCATGGATGTACTTGATATGAATTTACACCTCTACACCTTTAAATAATTAAATATTTTCAGTAAAAGACATCTAAAAAGTAGTACTGTTCATCAAAAATATTTAATTTTTATGTACTTATTTAATACAAAGTGAGAAGCAAAGAGCATAAAGAGGGAAAATTCATTTCCTTGACAAGTATATCCACGTCTTGCAATTTCATATGCTAGTCTCCCCAAACCTGCTCCAGGTACTAGAATTTGCACATCTGATGGTGTACTGGAAATTTACCTATCATTTCATACTTTTCTGAACTATGTTTTAATACGTGACAGTAGCTATTCTAAATATCTGTACTTTTTTTATAAAACATTTTATTGATATATAACATTTTTAAAATATTTGAAGGTTTCATACCAATATTCTAAGGGAAATTGATTCATAATTTCATTTATGATAGGCAGATAACACGCCATGCGTTCTTCGGTACCTTCCACACTCCAATCACGAACCAGTTGCTTAATTGTAGCTTGGACCTTTTCTTGATCAGCCATTACTGGACGAGGATTTAACGTCTGCAATCAGACCTACCTATATTTTGTACAATAGAATATACTTTTATAAAAAAAGAAGCTTGTTAAGATGATAAAATGAAATCCAAGCTAGATCAAATATTTCTTCGAAGACAAATAATGTTAAAATAAAAAAAAATATTATGCACAAAATATAAAAGATTTTACTTAAGAGTGTTAATGATTAAATTATGTTTAATAAAAAAAATGATTACATCAATATATCTTAAAAATTTCAATTTTTAATAAAGTAAAGTAAAATATTAATTAGTAATATAAACAAAATATTTTATTTATGTTTAATAGGATTAATCAAATAAATTAATTGTATTTTAAAAATATATCATATTGTACAACAGAATATACATGCCACACACCAGGTGAACTTTTCTTACACTGTCAGTCTGTGCAGTAGCTGGGCTCACATTTTCAAAAATATGTGCTACATCCTTTATAATAAGCTTAATTATCTCATCATTATTTTCAATACATCTTTTAACTTCTTGTAAATGTTCTCTATACTTTGATAAAAGCTTCTGATGATGAGTTGGTAATGATAGTAAATAGGATTCTGTTTTTTTAACCCTTAGTAATGAATGATTTCTGTAAAAAAAAAACTATGATATAAGTAATATTTATATTTCAGTTAATTACATTTATACTATGATATAAATGATATTATATTACTATATATATAAATTTTATTCTTTATGTTTTTTTGGTCATATAGTTATAAATATAAAACTGACTGAAACACAACAAGAATTAATAAATTAAATACAGATATACATTAACTGATAAATTTATAAATATGTTTTACTAAATAGAAATTGTTATACTTATGAAACAATATTATAATAACATAATGTAAAATATGATTTCTATAATTATAGGACAACCATAAAATTCCAAATAAAATATAAATCAATGTTATATCATTGAAGGTTAAGCAATAATAGAAAGAAATTTCAATGATCGAAAAATCATGGATAACATCATATAATATTATTATGAGTATCATATTTGATGGAAAAAGCGAAAGAATAAAAATAATAAAGATATGAATGAAACATCGACTTGAAAATTAGAGTTAATCAAACAAAATGATTTTTCATGATGTTCTTACTTGTAATATTTAAAGGCAGAGACAATACGTTGGAAATGTTTCCTCTCTTCTTCGTCCTCATAAGTGTCGTGCATTTTTTTTGGATAAGGATTTGACATTGTTTCCATTTTTATATTTGAAGGTAAAGCTTAGTATTTTAATGAGTTTTTTAGCACAACGTTCAGTGGCGGCTTTCGTAGTGCACGCGTTATGATGCATTTACATTACTATAATAAATCATTCTTTAAGGCTGAATCGTAAAGAAATTTTATTTATTAACGAATACATTAAATATAAATTCATTTTTAACATACTAAAAACTTATACAGTATATATAGAAGAATAAAATCATCTAACTGCATAAGATATGAAATTTTTGGTGACGAAATTTATTATTATTATTATTTTACTTTTTGTATAAGCTCTAAGTTATACAAAAAATAAGTATGATGTATATTTTTAAGAGAACAAATATTTTATTTTCTATAAATATTATGTTATTATATTAGATACAATTATTATAATTTATAAGATATACTTACACCTTAATTTTAAGATATATGATATTGTATAATTTATATTACTGGTCACAGTTATCAAAGCTATGATAGGTTACTTTGAATGAAAAGACTAAGAATGAATTTTATTATCATTTCAACTCTTAAACAATATAGAAATTTATGATTTAATATGTAATCAAAGAAAGTTGCTCTAGGTATAAATGAAAAGTATATTTAAATTTCATTAAGGGTCAATACAATTTGATTAATATTTCTTATAATAATTCAGTATTATTGAAACGCAGGAAATCTAAGTGAAATTTGTTTGCCACAATTGGAAACAGTGCCAAGTCACAACTTGCATACTGCAGAGTTTCTATAGCTGTTGTAAGTTGCAGATAGGATATGGTCGTCCACGCCATTTTTAAAAGGAGCTCAGTCGCTAATCAACCGCGGTGAAGTATACCTGGACCTTCACCGCGAGCATCATATCTAACTTGCGACTTTTTGTCGCGTTAGTGTTGCCGTGTGAGGCATTTCGCAATGACGACAGTATAAGGGATTTGTTATACTCTTCATTGAGTGTATAACGAGGGTGTTATTAAAAGTATTTGCAGCAGACACCAGGTCAAGAAACATGTCTAGTGCACCAGAAATGTCTAGTGGGTTTAGCAAACTCAAAAAGAAACATTTTCGAGTTAAACATCAAAAGGTTAAGCTGTTTCGTGCGAATGAACCTCTTCTTAGTGTTTTTATGTGGGGTGTCAATCATACGGTGAGTACTAACATAACTGCGTGACAGCGTCGTACGTCATCGAAATGCCATTTTCTTCTTTCATTCTGTTGAAGCTATGTAGAATCAGAAACTTAAGAAAATGGTACATTATTTTGTCATGTTTTGTAAATGCAATATTTTCTATATTTTTCTACACATTTGAAAATTTATATTTGGGATATATACTATACTATTTTTCTTTCTTGCACTTTATAGTGTTATCGGATTTTATATTTGCGTTTATAAAGTAGATATAAAACAAAGTTTTGTTAGCTGTCAGGAATAACAAAGGATTTATATTTTATATAATATTTTTATAACAAAACATTATGTGACTTATTCATATTTGAAATCATGTTCTGTTTCTTATAGATACTTTATGTTTATTTTGTAACAATTGAAGTAATAACAATTTAATTAATTAAATTATATTTTAAATAAGAAATATTATTCATTTAAAAAAATTAAGTTCATTTTATTATATTTTAGTATCAAATTATTCTGTTGGTATAGTAAAAAATAGTAAAAATATATATAATCATTTTCATATTCATCTGTGGATAATGACATCAACATACACAAATATATAATCTTATTTTATAAGAATTATATGATAAATTTATGTGTAATAAATATATAACTACATATTTTTTGTGTAATTTAATTATTTGTATTTAATATTCTATAGTAAATTTTCAAATAATCTTTTTATTATCTTTTTATGGTAGTGTTCACAAAAACAATTTATTTAAGAAATTATACTTTTATAAATGTTACATCTAACATATTACAGATAAATGAGCTTAGTCATGTTAATATACCAGTAGTGCTCCTGCCAGACGATTTCAGAGCTTATAGCAAGTTAAAAGTGGATAATCATCTGTTTAACAAGTAAGTTGTATGATATCGTTTAACTGCTTATGTTTTAATCCAAGATTAATGGATGTGATAGAATTAAAAAAAAAAAATATTAAATTTATATGTAGCTAATAGTAACTTCAGTTATAAGAATAACGTTTTATGAGATATAAGAAAGACATCATTAATGTAAATGTAAAGTAAGCAACTGAGGTGGCCTATTCTAAATATATCGCTAAATACTGAATTAGTAGGTTGGTCACTGCTTTTAATAATAGAATCAATGAAGGTCCTCATGATCTGAGATTGTAGTTAACGATAGAGATATTCATAGCTTTATTTCCTAATTTAAAAGAAGTTTGTTTGTTTTGGTAACTTTCTGTGAAATTTATGAACAATTATATATATAAACATTAAAAAATTATTGATATATTTAATTTTTTATTTTAGAGAAAGTATGCCCTCTCATTTTAAATTCAAAGAATATTGTCCATTAGTATTCAGAAATTTACGAGAAAGATTTGGTATAGATGATTTGGACTATAAGGAATCAATGACAAGGTAAAAATTATTTATTTTGTATTCCATGTATTTCAAATATGTGCATTAAGTTTATTTCAGAAATTAAGTGAAAAATGTCATTAAAATTATTATAAAATCAAATACCTATTTGAGATGTATTATATAAATAAGAAGTAAAGTATAACTTGTTTTTTAAATCTCTGTCTTATTTCATTGCATTGCATGTCAAGGATATGTTTTATTTTATGTGACAGCTTTCTGCATAAATTACTATAACTGTCGTATACATATAAATTATCTGTATGTATTATAATTTGGTAAATATCTCTTTATTTATTTTGCTATACAGCACCTTTACTTATTTATAGAGTATTGCAGATTTAGGGGCTTTACTTGATACAACCTTGAAGGAAGATAATCCACCCAATGACTCATAGGCAAATCATTGTAATTAAAAATTTTATCATGGTATTTGAGATCAATTTTGTATTGAACTATTAAAGAAAACATATTTTGTTACAACATTAGTAGCATTCTGTATTAATAACTATGTTGTTTTGAAATATATCAAATTTTAAATACAAATTTATAGAAATAAGGAAAAGAATATTTGTAACTTTATAAACAACTCATAACTTCATCCACATAAACCCAAATATAATAGAAAAAATATATTAACAGGTAACATATTGGTATTGTGACTAACATATTCCAGAATCTAAAATTTAGTATATTATATTACAATTACATAAATGTGTATAACTATATATGAAACAATGAATTTCTTTCATTTCTTTATATACAGAAAGTAATACTTTCCATTTGAATGTAATGCATAAGAAATATTGATAGTAAGTTGTAATACAAAAATTTTGATGCTAGATGTCGGGCATTTAACCCTTCCCTATCAGAGAGGCATTGGAATTTGGCTAGAAATGGGAAGACTCATGAATTGGTTCAGCATTCTGCAACTGCTCCTTCAATAACTTTTTCTCCTCCTCCTGTTCTTTCACAAATTCCAGTCCTAAATAAACCACTACGTTCCTACAGTTTTAAACCAAAACGTCTGAGGTTAGCTAGACTTGATTTTCCATTTTGTGCGTGTTGCTTGTGGTTAACACGTTTTCATGAGATCTTAAATATAAGGAATCAGTTTAAAGGAACATACCTGATTGAATACATTTTTTTCATTGTTATACTATGTCATATGAATTATACAGTTATAATTAAATGTTTATAAAATATTAAAAATAAAATTCTGAAAAATCATTTAGAATTAAAGCATGAATTTACTTTCTTCATATTGATTATTTTTATTATAGTGATATACTATGTGAATAATAATATCAATATGAGTTAGTTATTATGCTTAATAATCATTTGCTTTTTTACATGCATGCTAACATATGTGGTAGAGGTAGATTAATAGTGTTTCAAAAAATTACAAAGCAAAAATACTTTTATTGCTAGAAATAAATAGATTATTATGTCATGCTAAGTTAATAATAGAAATGAAAGAAACTATAGTTAATTTTATTTTTTCAGATCACAACCAATATTAGAAGATTCATCTGGAAAAAGCGGCGCAAAATTTTATCAATCATGTGATAAATTATTTATTATTAAGACCCTTACTAAAGAAGAAGTGGAAAGGATGTATTCATTTTTAAAACACTATCATCCAGTATGTAACATCCATTATCTACATGTGAAAACTATATATATTTGCTTTTTTGTATAAGACTAACAATGTGATTATTGTAGTATATTGTGGAAAGACATGGAAAAACTTTATTACCCCAATATCTTGGCATGTATCGTTTAACTGTAGATGGAGTTGAACATTATGTTGTGGCTATAAGAAATGTATTTTCAAATCATTTAACTACTCATAAAAAATTCGATTTAAAAGGTTCAACAGTAGATCGTGAAGCATCTGATAAAGAGAAAGAAAAAGATTTGCCTACTTATAAAGATAATGATTTTGTTAAAGAGGGAATGAAAATTTATATTGGTGAAGAAGCAAAAGCTAAACTTATAGAAACATTGACAGCTGATGTTGATGTAAGTTTTGTTTCTTATTTATTATATTTAATTAATTATACTATATATTTTAGTTTTAACAAAATTGCATTATAGTTTTTAACAAAATTGCATTTGATGGATTATTCTTTATTACTTGGACTGCACGATTGTGCGCGAGCTGAACAAGAAAATAGAGAACGTGCTGAAAGAGAGGAAGAGGAAGATAATCATGAAGAAGAAGATGATAGCGAATCTGGAAGTGGACTTGATTCACGAGGTCCAATGGGCGAGTATGTATCGCATTCTTATAACATTAGATGCTTCATAGAATTTTATTTTCAAAATTTAGAACATTTAATTTTCTTCCTAGTCGTCTATGGGGTTGGAGTGGCGTTGCAGGTATGGCAACGCCCCCCGAATCACCACATGCTGCATTGATGCGTGATACAAGTTTACAATATGAAGATGCAATAATTCCTGAATTAGATATTTATGCAATTCCTAGTAAAGAAGGTAATACTTTTACAATTGATGTAATACAATATAAGAAATTTAAATCAATATTTAAATTTTATCTTATTTTAGGTGCGCCTACAAAGGAAATTTATTTTTTAGCCATAATTGACGTGCTAACTCATTATGGTGTGCGTAAACAAGCAGCAAAGGCAGCTAAAACAGTGAAGTATGGTGCTAATGTCGATGGTATATCAACCTGTGATCCAGAACAATACGGCAAGCGATTTATAGAGTTCATGAGCAAAGCTATAGAATAAGCTCGTTGTTCGTTGTTGTTAAGCTTGTAAATTTGGACCGCTTGTTCGAAAGTCGTAATGACACTATTGCTTTTTACTGCGTTTACGTTGAGTGCATCGAACATCATTCATTGCACTTTGATGTTTGACCATAAAGATTTTTATTTGGTACATCAGTACTATTGATTACATATTTCAGTATTCCTTATGACATTTACAATGGAGTTAGAAGCATAACACAATTTCGTGATTTAGGCGCTTAGAAGATCTGTCGAAAACTATTTTTCAGGGAATGTTTAGTAATTTTATAACCAGTGACATATTTTCTCAGTATTTAATTACAACTTTTCGATAAAAATAATTGTTGGATATTGTAGTTTTCTTGTATTTTTTATTTTTCATTCATTTTATATATATTTTCAAAATACGAGACTTACATTAGTTGCGTGCATTATGTGTACAAGAAGAAATATGTGAAAGTTCTGTTAAAAAAGTTTGTTGCATATGATCTTTATTTTATAAGATGGCACTCAATGTTATACTTAAAAAAATACTTTTTACATGTATTTGTTAATGTTTACTATTTTGTTGCATTAATTATTGGTATATAAATAAGACTAACAGAAAGATATATTATATATTGTTTTTTGGTACACATAATGTGCTATAAAAGCTGCGTTCATTATTGTCATATGACAATAAATGATATGTAATACTAGTTTACTGGGAAATATTAAAATTAATGTTGATGTTACATATGATAATCTCATAAGAAGCACAATTAAGTGCTTCACAAAAGAAGCCTACATTTATCATAAAGAGTCTCTTCGATTTCGTCAAGTCGAATATAATGCTTCTGGTCTAGTGTCTGTGGTGTTATCTGGAATGTTTAAATATTCAAGGTAGAACGTAACAGCTTTTACGATGAGAACTTTCTTTTTGGTAGGTTTAAAAAGTGGAGAGAAGTAATATATTATATGCGCAGAAGGTACTATAGTATAAGAGCTTCAAACTTTAAGAAATTACTAGTAAATGTCAAAGTCTGTAAATGTCACCTCTTTGGTCATTTCAGTTACCGCGAATCGATGTTAAATTCATCGATTCGTTTAGTTCGTGAAGTACATTTACAGGGAACAAAACAAGTTATATGTATTATGCACGATTCATGTCTCCTTTTGAAACGTGCTCAAAACTAACTAATATTTTCATTAGAGAAATTAAGGAAAGAGAAGTACGAAATATATTACTTTAATGCTTTGAGAATAGAATGCTGATTTATCATATCTATAAAGAGAACGATTTAACTAAAGTGGAATCAGTTCGTTGATTACTTGTTCACTTTTTAATAATATATGTATTATAACATGACATGTTCTTTTGTAGCATTCGATTCTCAATGCAAGCTTCAACGTAATTAGTAGCACAAGATCTCGCTTAATAATTTAAATTATTAGAACAGGACAAGGTAATACAGCTTCACTCTTTTATTCCATAAATTTATCTAATAACAAATAGTTTTTCGTTAATTATACTTTAAGATTGTATATCATTGTACGATGTAAACGTAAAAAGGAGAATGCATCGTTGCATAACACTTTATCTTTAAATAATCTAATAATCGATTTTTTATAATTTGTTAAAACTGATCATAATATAACAACTAATTACTTTACTAATTAAGGTATTCATCTAGTCTCGATACTTTATATGATTTTATACTTTGCCAACAAATTGGAAGAACAACAAAAGTAAATGAAAATGCATATTGCCAACAAAGCTGTACTATAAAAGAACGTTTACAGTTATAAAAATACGCTCAATTTCTGTAATGTTATAAGTTCTATAAGATTAAATTATTCTATGAACTACAATTTAGTGCTACTCAGTAATAAATTTTTCAAACGTATTTTTTTTACTATTATATTCACTGAGTTGCAAATCTTAAAAAAAAATTAATATTATACGAAAACATTTTCTTTATAAATTTTAAAGAATATAGATTCAAATAGAGTTTGTTTAATTACATTACAAAAAATATTCCGATTATATTTCAATAACAATTTTGCAATTTGCACTATGTAGAAACGATGTATATAATCACTACTTTGCTGTTGGCAGTACATATCCAGGCTTCTGTTGTCCTAATGTTTGTATTATTCACAGAGTCTGTGTTGTATAAGCCGCGGGAAATAAATGGACATTTAACACAATAAGGAATTATAAATAAAAAAGATATTAGGAAAGAGCATGTTGAATTTTATTTTATAATAAGCTCTAAATGATATATTATTTAAGTAAAAATTATTTGTTATAACAACGTAGTTATATGGTTTAAACTAAAAACTTCTTTTTTCTGTCTAAATAACATATGTTATATATTTTACGAATAAATGAAACAAAAATATACTAGATAAGTATATACTTAGAACTAATTTGTACTTTAGTAATTGCATAAAAAAATTGAAGAACATTTAATTTCTTCGCGTCTTTGGTTTCTACATATGCACCACGTACCTAACTTCATTTATTAGACACCTGCAACGTTTCAAAAGTAAAATAAGATTCTTTAATAAATTATACACGTGGTTTCTTTGAGTTTTTTTCTTCTGAATCGCAATAATTCTCTTGAGAAGTAAAACATTTTTCTGGGTTTAGGTACCCGTTACGTTTCCTTCTTGTGATAGGTGAAACTTGTTTTAAATGTTCCATATCATTGAATACAACTTGAGCACCACCTCCACTAGTTGGTAATATGTCTCCCTATTATTCAAGAATTTTGTCATTATTGTATTACAAATATATTTACATTTGGAAAACATTACTAATACTAACTTTATATAATTTAGTTTCAAGTTCACCATCTGTATCTTGTTCCTGAGCAACAAGACAATATCTGGATGCTTTGTTTGTTATATCTTTTGGGTCTATCAATTGTGTGATGCTTCGTTTATGTCGGATGACTGGCTGAAGAATAGTTCCAACTGGAACTAATCCAGAAGGTCGATGGTCAATCCATCTCTCTGCACTCTGCGATCGTCTGTAGCGTAGATTCACTACTGGTATTCTATCCTAAAAATAATTAAAAATAGCATAATTTTATAATAAATATATAATATGAAATTATTAATTATGAAACTATTAATTATTATATTTACTTTTCTACTTAGTCGAATATCACTGCTATCGTCGAATTTAATCGTAGATGCAATTTTTGTATTAGTTTTTACCATGCTTGTAGAAGGTATAACTTCTGAAACACTGTTTGGAGTAGTTGTAATTTTTGATACTGTAGACATTTCAACTTCATTTTGTACTTCAATTGTTTCCTTGGATTCTACTCTTTCTTTTGCATTCATCTCATCATCACTTATTAATATCTGTTTCACTAATTTTAGTTTGTCTTCTTTTTCTTTTATTTGGTTCTAAATAAATATTTAGTAAATAATTATATGAAGTATATATAATTAATATGGTATACCTGAAGAAGTTCACGTTGCCGACGAAGTTTGCTTTCTAGTTCCTGACTCATTTTATCAGTTTCTGCTTGAATTTTATTGCTGTATTTTTCTTTTACTTTCTGTTTATCTACTGCTCGTTGGTTCAATAACGTACCCTTGTTTTTTAGCTGTGAAGAATTTTTTTCACCGTTAGAAATAATGTTTGTTTAATAACAAATACAAATAATTATTAATATGAAATAAAATTTACTTCTTGCTTCATATGTCTGATTATATCATTTGCACTATTTAATCTGTATAGTAACGTATCAATTTGAGCTTCTGTTTTACAAATGTGCGCTTCCAAAGCACATATCTGTAAAATTTTACAACAATAATTACAATATTTAAACCCTTCATATAAGAACTTACTTTTTTTTGTCGTTGATCATTTGATGCTTTTAATGTAGAGTTTTCAATCTTTAATGACACGTTTTCTCGTTCAATTTTTACCAACATATTCCTGAAATTCGTTTCTAAAAAGAGAAATTTAATATAAATTTTTCGGAAGCATATTTTTTAAAGTTAATATATATAAAGATTACGTTTTTGTTTCAGATCTTCTTGTAAAACATTTCGTTTCTGAATACGCAATTCTAAGAAACGCATAAGTGTAGTAATTATTTCATCATTATGTGGATTTGTTATATCCATTTCTGGAAATGGTCCTCCAAGACTGGAAGAAAATTTATAATGTAACAACACAATTTTTTTTTATTTCATAAATACTAAAATGTAGTTTACCTATACACTAAACCTAAATCAACTTCTAAATCAGCAGCAGTTGGATGACCAGCGCTTTCTAATCTGTTTATTGCTTCTTTAAATATCTGCCAAAGAATATCAATAATTAAACACGTACAGAAAATTATTTTAATGTATCATAATGTATCACAATGTTTTTTCCTACTTTGTTAGCTTGTCTTCTACCAGATATATATCCCAAATCTAATTTTGGAGTTGTAGAATTTGTAATTTGTACTTCTTGACTAACTTCAGCAAACTTTAACACTTGCTACATGAAAAATAAAAAAATATCAATGATCTATATGTCAGATAATATTTACAACTAAAAAGTGACTATTTACAATAGTTTCATCATAATCGTCGATATTGGGATTAACACAAATAATCATTCTAACATTTCCTTCACCATCAAAATAATTCTTAAACAAATGTGTTATTTTTGAATCTCGATAAGGAACTATTTTATTTGTTCCTTGGATCTGATTTTCACGAAGTATTTCCAAGCAAGTGCGTAGCGTCATTAACGAATTATTTATATTTCCTATTTAAATAAATATAAATTATGTAAATAATCAATGATAAAATATATAAATAAATTAATTATAAAATATAATAAATTAACCTGCTTCCCTAAGTCGCTGTCCAGTATTTTTTGAACGATTTGTACGTTCACTTCCTGCCAAATCTACTAAAGACAATTGGCTGATACAAATTACTCGTTTATCTTGGACAACTTGTTCACCATCCTTATCTAGTGGTGCCTAATCAAATATTAATATTATAGATATAATATAACTACAATATAATTAGATTATATTACCTGAACAAGCCTTATAGTAAAAACACTATGAGATCTGCTTGATTCTGCATTAAGATTAGTATATGCAATATGTCTTTTGCATTGGCCTCGTTGAAATATTTCAAATGCTTCTTCTGAACTTTTTATTTCTATTTCTGTACATCCATGAACATACATATTTTTATTCCCATCTTCACGAATAATTTTACTCTGCAAAGTTCTAAACTTTCTTAATTTTAAATATATTTCATGAGATGTTAAGTAGTTCCCATACTCACTTTGCTTTTCCTTCATTTTCTTCTAATAAATCATATACACTGTTATTATAGACTTCAATATATGTTATAAAGACTGCATATGCATTATCTGCATCAACATTTAATGTTTGGAATTTACTGCTTAAATTTAAGATATTTTCATTGTTATCATCTGTTTTAGACCTTTGAAAAGCATACAAAATGTTGAAATTTTACATAATTATAATAATATATTTAATTTTAAGAATAAAACCTACAGTCTAGGAGTTTTCCCATTATATGAAGTAACAAGTCTTTGAAGTTCATTTTGTCTGTCTAATAATGCATCAGTTTCATTTTGTATATCAAACCCATTTAATTTATCAGGTTTAAAAATAAATTTCTTTGTTTGATATTTTGTTATACTGTTAAAAATAACATCTAAACTACGAGGCATGATGCCTGCATCATGCAAATTACCAGACATAGTGTAAGTTTTCCCGCTTCCAGTTACTCCATATGTAAAGAGCAAACTATTTTTACCATTAACAAGATTTTCAACAAGTGGTAAAGCTATAATATTGAATACTTCTTTTTGAGAAGTATTTGGACCAAAAACGTGACTAAAACACGTTTGTATAGCTTTATTTATATTACGAGCGTTTGTTATTGATTCTGGTGGCGTAATAACTAAGCTTGTGTTAGATATAATTTTTATACAGGAAACATCGTTAGAATGAGACATTGGCCTTAAACGACAAAAAACTTTAACAGGTTCTTTAGATGTTTCATTATCACATTTCGGCCGGTTCCCGTGTTTTCGCATCGCAACAGGTGGTTTTAAATTCCTAATTGAAATAAAATAGTAAAAAGTATTTATGAGATAATCATGTATTTTAAATGACTTGATTTATAAAAGTTTAAATTGGAACTAAAATAATTAGATTGAAATGATGTGAAATTTATTAAAAATAAAATTAAAAACTTACATAGGTTTCATGGTAACGCTAATTAACGGACACAGAAAACAAATAAAAATTATTTCATATAGCTATTTATGAGTTTTTTATAATTAGTATAACATTCTATTTGTCATAAAAGTCGTATACGAATTTTACAATGTAAGTTTAAAATTCAAACATTTACAAAATGAAGTCAGCACGTAAATTATTTATACCGAGTTTCTATTTATCGAAAGAAACATTGGAAATTACATTTGGAGGATTAAAGTTTTTTTTTTATGACTTATTCGTAACATTGTAAAGAAGATATTAGGATTTTTTTGGAAGTAAAATTAAATTCACAATAGCTTATAAAAATAAAACGATATATTTTGCATAACTAAAATTACATTGAACAAAAATTTCCTAACTCCTGAATAAAAGGTATTTCCTATTTAATATTTGAATTATTGTTTTATACATCTATTTTCTCTTTTCTTGAATACTCTCTTTTAAATGTGTACCATCACAAAATGGTCGATTTGATGTTTGTTTACAATTACAAAGCCAATAATCTTTTGTTTCTGTAACAGCAAAACGTATAGGCTTTTGCTTGATTTTAAGATGTATATTCTTATGAGTGCCATCGCAGAATGGTTGTTTATTACTTCTACCACATAAACACCAAGAATATGTTTTACCAGCTATACATGTAAATTTAAAAGGTTTATTATCATATATAAAACCATTATTAGTTTGATCATTTGCACTATAATATTCTTTTAATGAATTTGTAGGTATTTCCATATCTTCTTTTACATTTTTACAGTAACGTCTGATCTGAAATATAATCATACATTCATACATTAAAAAAATAATGATGTGTATGAAATTTTATTAAAATATAGGTTATTTTAAACATAAAATGTATACGTTATTTTATCAAGAACAAGCTCATTCCATCAGAAATACGGTTAAGTTAATTGTAATAATAATCATACAAAATAAACGTAATAAGTATATTGCAATATCTTATACTGCATTTTATTTTTAACTTACATTTCGGTATTTTAAAGTACTAAAATGTACAAATTGAAGAATTTTCTTTAAAGTCAAGAGCATGTTTAATATCACTACAGCACCTTTATTTTGGAAATAGCAAGTATACCAACATACTTTTATAGGGATATTTCATTGTGTTACATATATCAATTTTCATGTTTTTCATCAATATTTAATATTTGTTTTGTTTGAACAGAATTTTTGATAAATTATTGATTAGTTTATACATTGTTTGAGTACATTTTGAAGATTAATTTGTGATCTTTTATGATGTATAACGGTTAATTAGATTCTACTTTAGATGTATATATTTATATTTTAAATTATATTTTTTATAATACATTACAATGTAATAACTTAATTGTTACATACAAAACCACAAAAATTTCACTGTAATAAAAATAAATTAAACATAAAAATAGATCATTTTTTTTCTGTCCTATTAATAACCATAATAAAGAATAGAGTTATTCCTCCACAAATAAACACAGTATATCCCTAATGCAACTTGTTGATACCGCATTGATTCCTTCAACGAGATAGATAAGGATAGAAAATCAAGCGACATTCAATCAGCGCCATTTATGATTTTGGATCTGAAAATCGGATTTGGTGATAGGAACACATAATGTACGAGGAGCTCTTTGGAACAACCACTTGGCGCGATCTGTGTTCAGGTTACCGAACTCGTGGTTCAGATGTAAAATCATAGATGGCACTGATGTTATTCGAACAGGTTACTAACTGTTGATATGTGCTTCTGATATATTTTAATAAATCAATTCGGCAGTGGAAAATTAACAAATTACTCGATTTCTGCGATTAATGTATAAACTTTTATAATTTTATCATAAAGGTGCAGCTTTAGCGAACTTTCTAATATAACTTTTGATATTTTCGATATTCCGTGGACAATACTTTTGCGGCCTCGACGAAAGATTTTTGTCCATTTTCGCAACTTTATATCAAGAGAATTTTACATGAGAGCAGGTCGTATTAACAGGAGATTTGACAAGAGATTTTAATTATTTTACTTATTCCGAGATTGAAGATAAATTTTAACATTATACTTACCTTATAATACTTACCTTACGATACTTGCCTTGTTCATCTTAATATACATGTTAATTCAACAGATATTGCACACTCTCTATTTTTAAAGTTCAAAGGGAACATTGAAAATTTACAAGAGATAGGAAATATCTTAAACTTTGTGCGTAGCTCTTAGCTTGGTATCGTTTTCCAAAACTTATTCTTTGGAAAACGATACCAATTACCAGGTCTCACCACGTGGAGGTGGCTACGAATCGAGACCCACATGCGCCCTAGTGGCGCAACCTACTGGTGCTACCTGCATCAAAGGTACCCTAATCTAACTTGGAGCGAATTAAGTTAAAGTGATTCTACTGACACTTTATTTTATTTCGTGTCTTACAAAGGGAACTTCGATTCGGT